ATCTATCTATCTATCTATCTATCTATCTATCTATCTATCTATCCATCCATCTATCTATCCATCCATCTATCTACACACACATAAATTACAGCATATAAAGGTGATGCTGTCCTGCCTGATTTTATCTGAGAGTCTGTAACTGACATACTTCCCTGTATGAAAAACTAAACTGCACATGCATGACTATAATTGTTTCTGTTTATTAAACACTGAGCTCTATTTCCCCCCTGATGTTGGATTTCAATATCCTTTCATATCACATAAAAATTCAATTACTTCTACAGCTTCATTTCAAGTCGTGAGCATTTCTCGGGGTCCAAACGTTTCAAGGCCTCTAACACACGATGGGATGTCAGGAGGTATCATTTGTCCTGTACCATCACGCAGATACAGTTTGTACAGTGTAATGAGGCTTTGGCAGAATGAGCATCCTCTCCAGAGATGCTGTACATTCATGCTTAATCGCTTCCCTGGGAGAGAACTGAGGACATCACATGCTGCTGCTGCTGCTGCTGCTGCTGCTGCTGCACCTCGTCTCTGTCATTATCGCTGTACCTCTTGCGGTTCTTTCTTCATCTTCCTCTGTTTTTTATTTCCATTTCTTTATTTCTTAGTACTTGCACCCACTTAAGTAGCTCCATCAAATGCCTCTTTATGTGTCATACCATGCCAATCCATGCAGTAAAGCACAACGCCCAATAGAGTGCTTAAAGAGATAGTTCACAGAAAAATGAAAATTCACTCATCATCTACTCATCATCTACTCACCACTATTCCCATGGACGGGCGGGTGAAGTGTTTGAGTCCACAAGACCAAAATTCACACATTCACACACACCATCTAATCCTAAATGTGCCAGATTGAAAAACACCATCAAACCATCTCGCAATGTGAAAGAAAGTTAAACATTTTTTATTAGATTTAAATTAGCATCTTTCCATCAAGTTTCTTTCAAATCAGTTCAGTTGTTTTTATGATATCTTGCTCACATACAAACAAACAAATCATCTTACAAATGCACAAGGGTGAAAACATATAATACTGAGATATTTCACTTTAAACCACAGATGTCAGCCTCTTGGTGGTATTTGAAAGAAGGTCACCTTGTAGTCGTACAGGATACATCCTGTGGTGTCTCTACACTATCCTCTCAAACCTCTTCACGAACCACCCACTTTCTCCTGCCCTCTTTTTCTGTTCCTCTTTTCTTTCTCTGCATCTCCATCGAGGTTTTTATCCCTGAACTCCCTCTCTTGCTCTCCTGCTTTTCTCTTTTG